TAATGAGTAATGAAAGAAAAGGGCTCTTCGCGAAAGAAGCCGATTGAAGGATAAATCGGCGAACGTAATTTTTCACGTCCGACTGATTTGCTTTCATTATTTTGTGGTTTGATGGATGCTGAAAATAGAGAAGGAACAATCTTGTGCCATTCGCGCAAAAATGCTGACAATCATTTTATCCACCTTCAAAAAATAAACTTTGAACCAGTGGAATTACTGTATTCCTATTTTCCCGTCTCAAGTGCGATTGTCTAACTAACGTGATGGTGAAATTGCCAAACTTGATGCGGTAAAAATTCGTATGAAGTGCTGTATTGGTATGAGATTTGACAGGCATCATAAATTTACGTGCACGACTGAAGCATAAGACAGAATCATGGATCAGAAGTATGAAATTGAAAGAATTTAACGATACAATATGCCAATTTTTCAATACTTGCAAAATGGTTGCAACACCATCAAAACTTCGTATGCAGTACTGTCATTGATAAGCAATACACGCGTAAAGTTTCTCCCTCAATAGTTTCAGAAGATTTCTGCCATACATTAAATTTCAACCGTCATATTACCGTACAGGAATTTATCACAACTTCGAACATGGAAACAACGGAATTTCAAAATTGCGTAAATATGTGTACACGAGGACCTATTATTCCCAATTTGACCCTGTATAAGTCAAAAATATTCCCAATTAGAATTTCCAGTTAATCACGCACTCGCAATTCCCTCAAGTCTAGTAATATATGATGAAATTTGAATCTTACTAACTTAAACTAACCTCCCGTGCATGCATTTTCTCCAGGCCTATTTGTTATAAAATTAGTAACACACATAAGAACACCTGTTTCAAAAAGCCAAGAGAACAGATTTACATTTTCCTCATGCTCTCCACAACGGATTATGCATCTTACTCTGTGTAGAACATTCATTTATGAACACTTTTAATAATTTGGTCAGAAAAGGCAGACTCTCTCTACAACGATCTTTTCTATAACGGTTTTCTCTGTACAACGAATTTTTTCTGAGCCCTCTGAATTTCGTAGCGGAGAATCCCCTATAATTTCGATTGATTAAATTGCCCAAATGAAGCTCAAGTCTCTAAATTACAAACTCCTAAGTTTAATGATCTTTCCATATGCTTGGGAATCGAGTCACCATAAGAGTGGTAAAAAATAAGCTTGATTAAAAAGCTCCCCACAGTAGGTTGAACTCCACTGTTATTCCAACACCACAGGTCAAAATTCCACAAAGTCTACATGCGATATAAAAAAATACACACGAACAAGAATTTAAGCTGTCGGGCAAGTGCCACACGCGCAAATCGAAAGGGTCCCCACATCTTCCCTCATCATCGCGTCATACAAAAGACCCTCGCGATTTCGTTGGCTATTCCATTGAGCCCAACATTCTGAGTATTAACGAGAATTGCAACCACCACGCCTCTCGGGGCTCTTTCGAACTCCACTTTATTGCTACCTGTCTTCAAGTCGGGTATGTCGTAGTCAGGCAAAATGAGCAAGACGCTGCTCGCACCAATGGCGCCTCCGGTGTTATTGCAACCACCACGCCTCTCGGGGCTCTTTCGAACTCCACTTTATTGCTACCTGTCTTCAAGTCGGGTACGTCGTAGTCAGGCAAAATGAGCAAGACGCTGCTCGCACCAATGGCGCCTCCGGTGTGCGAAAAGTATTGGCGTCTAGAGTTGCCGAACCTGTGGGTCTCCTGGTTCTGCACCACGCCCCAGCCCATGCCGTAGGAGGCGTCCTTGTCCCAGCTGGCCTTTGTCCGTTCTACTGGCCCCCACAACGACTTCACTGTCGACTGCTTCAGAAATCCCTTCCGGCCACCTGCTTAAAACCAGGTTAGAAGGGNCATCGCGTCATACAAAAGACCCTCGCGATTTCGTTGGCTATTCCATTGAGCCCAACATTCTGAGTATTAACGAGAATTGCAACCACCACGCCTCTCGGGGCTCTTTCGAACTCCACTTTATTGCTACCTGTCTTCAAGTCGGGTATGTCGTAGTCAGGCAAAATGAGCAAGACGCTGCTCGCACCAATGGCGCCTCCGGTATGCGAGAAGTATTGGCGTCTAGAGTTGCCGAACCTGTGGGTCTCCTGATTCTGCACCACGCCCCAGCCCATGCCGTAGGAGGCGTCCTTGTCCCAGCTGGCCTTTGTCCGTTCTACTGGCCCCCACAACGACTTCACTGTCGACTGCTTCAGAAATCCCTTCCGGCCACCTGCTTAAAACCAGGTTAGAAGGGCGCGTATCAACATATCACATGATTTTCACGAAGAGATACGCAATAGAACTCATGTCAATTTCCATTTTTTTTGCAAACCCGGGGTGAAATGAAGGAGAAAAAAACAAATGGACGTGCACCCCATTTTTGAAAGGAAATTACGTTTACCTGCTACACTTACTCATTTTGAAAACTTGAAGGCACTCCTGGGGCTAAAATTCACATCAATTTCCTTCTGTCGGATATTTCGGATATTCACAGCACAGGTGATTTGAACTTCAGAGAGTTCAGACCTTAGGAATACCTTTTTCAGTGATACTGAACGTGAAGGTTGAACTAGTATTTCTCATCAAAAATGCTCCTACAGTCAAACCCTGTGAAGATATATTGACCTGATCTAAAAATTTGAATAAATTGATGCAGCAAAATTAATTTTCTGAAAAAGTAATCCATTGATCACAGCAATACTCTTTGGAAAATTACTGAAGTTTCTAGAAAACCTGTATCTTTATGACTTTCAGAGGAAAATCGAGTATTTTTGATCAAATAGTTTAAAAATGAAATATTCGATAAACCGCCAACCCCTTGAAACCGCCAATACTGCTCCGGACAAATGGTGGCTGTCTTATCGGGGTTTGACGGTACAATAAAAGAAAATCTTCAACAAAGTCTCCCTCAAGTATAAAATAATTATTGACAATAATTGCTCGAAGGAATCTCGAGAAACTTGGATAAACATGAACTTCTTATCGAAGTTAGGAGATAAATTTTGAACCATCCCTCGTAAATTCTAGAAAACTTGAGAAGTTCGAAGTCATGAGACAAACTACTGACTGGTAATTTTTCCAAAAAGCTGATCAGGCGTTTGATAGCAGTAGAGCATTGAGTTGCCGAATTTCACCAGGTCTCCCGCCGACGACAGAAATCCACCTCCTGCCCATTTGTACGAATTGTCAACGTAGGGCGCATTTTTAATGACTCCACGGGAATCCTTGACGTAATTTCTGCAAGAAGCATGCAACACAATTGTTTAACCCTGAAAACACAAATGAAAATAGAGAGCAGAAAAAAGCTAGCCTTGATCTGCCGTAAATTATGGGGGCATTTTCGTCCAGAAACGTTCTCCTCATGCCCCACAAATGAAAATACTCCTCTGCCAATTTGGCAAAAGGTTTGCCAGCCGCAGCCTCAATAACTGCACTCACAAGTGTCCAACCGTGCGTTGTGTACAGGAATTTTTCACCTATCGCAAATCCATAGCATGCCAAGGAAATTAGTAGTAGGAATGTATTACAGGACAGTACTGCACTTCGGATGGTCAAAACATTATCGACGACAGTCTTTTGAAACATTTCGCTTGCTACATTGTTTCCGGTGGCAGTCGACGAAAATTCGCTGCTTTTTTTCATAATTCTACAGACAGCAGCACGTTTCCTTTTTCAGATTGCCAGATTTTCATGTACATTACTGTAAAAGACAACTGCAATCGTGGTGAAACTATTACCTGGCTTGTGCATAAGCTCGTCATCTTTGAAAAGTTTCACGGACTGTTCGACAGATTTGAAATTCTCCTTGAGGTAATATTCGGGAAGTTGGAATTCGTCAGCAACTTTCGTGTTCGTGCCGACGGACCGCTTATTCCCAGACGTTTCCTCGTTAGATTCATCGAATTTTTTCTTCTCGTAATGGCGAATTCCTCCAAGATGGGACACGAGGTGTCTGGTAGTAATGACAACCTGTGAACCGATTCTCTTTCCTCATTGGAGATTACATTCCAAAAGCGAAAAGGGCAAAAATAAACCTTTTCCCCGTCGATAGATTTCTCCGGGAAATATTTCACGTAATCCTGAACAGGTTTGTCAAGATCCAATTTCCCTTCTTCCATTAGTTTAGCAGCCATGGCCATCGTCATGCTTTTGCTTATGCTCGCGATTCGCATTACAGTGTCCGGAACACATTTAACCCGCTGTTCCAAGTCCGCATAACCGAACCCTGCAAGCGCAAAAGTAAGAATCATGAGGATCTTCAGATGATTACGGTACTTGGAACTTAGAATAATGATAATTTTCGCTATTAATAAATATGGTGGACGCTGCATTTGAAGCTGAACATGAGGCAGTATTGAAAACAGAGCAAACTTGAGACACGTGCACAATCCGCAAAACGTTTGAAAATTAATAATTTTAGCAAAAGAAGCCAACAACTAACTGACTGTACAAGAAATGATGAACCCTGACGTACTTTTGCATGCTTTCACTATATTCACTAGTTTTGTGTTCTACTACAAGATATTCAGTATTGCGTTCTGTAACACTGCATTTACCTTCCGTGTACACGACTTCCCCATCGACGCTGACAGCGATCGTCATTCCCGGTGCACCTGTTTCGTCCTTTCTACGAGAGCACAGTTCCCTGGCATGAGTGATGGCAGTGGTAATCGGTATCCGAATTTGGTTGAAATCTTCTGTTACATTGAAGTGTCCACCATTGAACAGAGCTCCTGAAGAATCCTTCCCTTGCGCCACCGCAGCAGCTTCGCATTTGGCTTCAAGCGACGAGGAAAAACTCCATTCGGATTCCTTTCTGGAATGAACCAAGACTGAGTCATGCAATTTCATTTTAAAAATTCGCGGGATACCCTGGCTGCAAACCGGATCGGAATTATCTCGGTCAAAACATAAGGATGTATATACAAGGTCTTTTTTTTTTTCTTTTTAAATAAATTCGAAATCTCATTTAACTTGCCTCAAAATTGTAGAGGCGTTCCCCTCAATTTTTCGATGTTTCGCGATCCT